AAAAATGAAGATGTTAATATACATATTAAGTAAAATTAAGTAAGATGTTAATACCCATGTAACTGCAATCAAGTCAAGAAATAAAACAAAGGCTCTGGGTATATTGCTTCCAAATCCAAATCATCATCCCATACTGTTCCCCTAGAGGTAATCACTCCACTGACTTTTGTGGTAATCAGTTACTTGTCATATTTAAAATTTAGCGGGGCCAGCACTGTGGTGCAGCGGGTTAATGCCCTGGCCTGAAGCGCTGACATCCCGTATGGGTGCTGGATTCTAGTCTCAGCTGTTCCTCTTCCAATCCAGCTCTCTGCTGTGGCCTGGGAAAGCAGTGGAAGATGGCCCAAGTGCTTGGGCCTCTGCACCCCTATGGGAGACCCGGAAGAAGCTCCTAGCTGCTGGCTTCAGATTGGCTCAGCTCTGGCTGGTGCAGTCATTTGGGAAGTGAGGCAGTATATGGAAGACCTCTCTCTCTGTTTCTATCTCTCTCTGTAACTCCATCTTTCAAATAAATAAAATCTTAAAAAAAAATAAAATTTATCAACCCTTAAAAACTATAGATTAATTTTTGTTAATTTTTAACTTTGTATAAGTGATATTACACCTCATATATGCTAGTTCTCCTGATATTGATTCAGAGACTCAGCAATCACCATCAAAATCTCAACAATGACTTGGACAGGTTGATTGTAAGATGTACACAGAAATGCATAGGGCCGAGAATTGGTAAGACAGTCTAGAAGAAAAACAACGAAGCAGGGGAGCCTGTTCTACCAGCTATAAAAACTTATAAGCCAAAGTGATTAAGACAGTGTGGTGTTGCCCCAGGGATGAACAAATCAACCAGCGGAGCAGAATGGAGCCTCTGCCAGACTCGCACTTATGTGGGCACTTGAAATGTGAGGAGGAGCTGCTGCAGCCAATGGAGAAAGGATGGTCCTATTGACAGATGCTGTTGGGACAGTTAGGGGCCCATATGGGGGAGACCCATATGCAAAAGTAAATTCTAGCTGCATTACATACTTAATGTGCAGGGCCATAAAACTTTTTTTTCTTTTTTAATTTGACAGGTAGAGTTATAGACAGTGAGAGAGAGAGACAGAAAGAAAGGTCTTCCTTCCATTGGTTCACTCCCCAAATGACTGCCACGGCCGGCACTGTGCCGATCTGAAGCCAGGAGCCAGGTGTTTCTTCCTGGTCTCCCATGGGGTGCAGGGCCCAAGCACTTGGGCCATCCTCCACTGCCCTCCCGGGCCACAGCAGAGAGCTGGCCTGGAAGAGGAGCAACTGGGACTAGCACCCGGCGCCCATATGGGATGCCGGTGCTGCAGGTGGAGGATTAACCAAGTGAGCCATGGTGCCGGCCCCTAGGCCATAAAACTTTTAGGAAACATATAGCTGTATACCATCAGCTTTCTTTTTTTGTAGAAAGCTTTTATTTAATAAATATAAATTTCAAAAGTACAACTTTTGGATTATAGCAGTTCTTCCCCCCATAAGCACCCTCCCACCTGCAAACCATCTCATCTCCTACTCCTCCCATCCCATTCTTCATTAAGATTCATTTTTAATTATCTTTATATATGGAAGATCAACTCTTTACTAAGTAAAGATTTCAACAGATTGCACCCACACAGACACGCAAAGCATAAAGTACTGTTTGTAGACTAGTTTTACCGTTAATTCTCAAACTACAACAAATTAAGGAGAGAGGCCCTACATGGGGAGTAAGTGCACAGTGACTCCCCTTGTTGATTTAACAACTGACACTCTTATTTATGATGTCAGTGATCACCCGAAGCTCTTGTCATAAGCTGCCAAGGCTATGGAAGCCTCTTGAGTCCACAAACTCTGACATTATTTAGACAAGGACATAATCAATGTGGAAATTCTCTCCTCACTTCAGAGAAAGGTACCTCTGGAGGATTAATATTATTATTATAAAAGAAACTGAAAGTAAGTCATTGTAAAAATTAAAAGAAAGAATAAGAGAGGAAGGAAGAGGGAAGGCATGAGCATAGGAGGGAGGAGGGGTAGGGTAGGAGTATCACTATGTCCTAAATCTGTATGTATGAAATACATGGAATTTGTTCACCTTATATAAATAAAAAATTATAAAATATATAAATAAAAATAAATAAACTTTTTAAAAGTTGTATTTAATGAATTATAAATTTCCAAAATATATCTTATGGATTACAATGGCTTTCCTCCCCCATGACTTCCCTCCCACCCGCAACCCTCCCCTCTCCTGCTCCCTCTCCCCTTCCATTCACATCATGATTCATTTTCAATTCTCTTTAT